ATCATTATAGGGTGGTTGTGTACACACACTGCCAACATACATTTCAGTTCAAACAACTTGTAAAAGTGCATGTAGCATCGGATGACCCCTTTAACATCCAAGACTGATCTGTTAATCAAAGCCTTTTAGTGCATATGAAAATATCTGCTAAATATTGGTAGTGTGTGTCCCGTTTCTTCCCGTTACAATCAGTTACAGGATTGCGTCCACTATAAATATCGTGACCGTTCGCGCATCTCATTGAAAATAAATTGTGTCCTAGCGGGTAACTTTTTCCCGGCAGCTTTTTAATATGCTACATACACTTCAAATCTGGAAGTATGCTGTCATCGGTGTCATTATATTAGCTTTGTGCAGTAACCTGTAACAGATTTATGCAAATGTGAGGGAAAAAAGTGTATGAATAGTGAGCAATCAAGCAATTATATAACACTAAACAAAACAAGCCATTTTACAGGGTATCTGCAGGATTTTTAAGATCAAATTTAAGACTTTAAGACCTGCATAAATAAAATTAATACCATATGACCGGGTGGGGTCTATGATAACAATCTGTAAATTGACTGTAAAAAGCATGATTTACAGTTCAGATACAGGTTTTTAATACTTCTATTCATTTTAAGAAATGAATAAAAAAGAATCCAAAAATGTGTGATTTCCACAAAAACTATTAAGCATCACAACTGTTTTCAACATTTATAATAAGAAATGTATATGTTTATAATAAGAAATGTTTCTTAAGCAGGAAATTCTTGAGCATATTATAATGATTGTATGACACTGAAAACTGAAAATTCAGCTTTGCCATAAGAAATAAATGACATTTAATAAAATACTAAACTAGAAAACCATTATTTTAAATTGTAATAATATTTCACAATATTACTGTTTTTACTGTATTTTTTAACAAATAAATGCAGCCTTGGTGAGCAAAAGAGATTGCAAAATTTTACCGAAAATGCCACACAAGGACTTCTGCAAACAACTGAACCATAATATCAACGATTTATGAATTATATTAACCAAAACAGACATTCTGAATAGATTCACAGAAATTTACCAACAACATTTTGCTGCTGAGGTCAGCAAACACTAATAAATCCACCTTAACAGTCTCACAATTGAGAGTCATAAGACGAGGGATCATGACATTGAACAAAAACACACTGCATTGAAATCACTGCAATGGTCACAATTCCATATATCGCGTAGCACTAGTGTCTACAGTTCTGATAAAGCCCTTGGAGAAACCCTACACATCAGCAACAGGCACAAAGCAACAGTTTGTTTTGCACAATATTTAATTTGCTGCATCCTACCATCAGTCTTCTACCTTTCCTTCTTTTCACCGCATGTGAACAACCTCTGTGTTTGAGTGAGTTTCACTGCAGATTCACTTACCTGCTATTATAAAGCAGCGGATGTTGCTCCAATCTCTTACAGCCTTGAACAAGATCTTCCTGCTGTGAGTCTCCACTTCTTCCTGAAACACAAACGGGAATAAAACATCAGGCCACAGCTAAAGTGGTTCTCTCCGATCCTGATCCTAAGAGCAAATCTAAACTGAGAGGACTTGGTGAGAGAAATGAGCACCATAAATGGAGAAATTCCCCCAAACCCAGATGTCACACATTTTATACTTAATTTACACTTCACAATCACTGTTTAAACACCTCCTCTCTGCTTCCACATACAACTGGGGAAGCTATAAGTAAGCTTCAGTTATTCTTCACAAGTAAAGACACACACACACACACACACATATACATAACATGACATTACAGACATACACGTATACATACACTAGCACAGTGTTTCCCAATCCTGGTCCGGGAGAACCCCAAACACTGCACATTTTAGATGTCTCCCTATTCAAACACACCTGATTCAACTCATCAGCTCATTAGTGAAGACTCCAAGACCTCAAACGTGTGTGTCAAATAAGAGAGACACCAAAACCGTGCAGTGTTGGGGGGTTCTCCTGGACTAGGATTGGAAACCACTGCCTAGCATTCAAAAGTTTAATTTTGTAAATGTTTATGTTTTTGAAAGCTTCATGTACTTTTTTTGTATGTTTTTAATCACAAAATCTTCATTTATTTTGATTAAAAATGCAGTAAAACACATAATATTGTGAAATATTATTATAGTTTAAAATAGCTGTTTTCTATGTGAATACCTTTTCAAATGTAATTTATTCCTGTGATGTAAAGCTGAATTTTGTCACATGATCACATGCTCAAGAAACATTTCTTATTATCAATGCTGAAAACAGTTGTGCTGCTTCATATTTTTGTGGAGACCATGATACATTTTATCTTTCAGGATGCTTTGATGAATACAAAGTTTCAAAGAACAACATTTATTTGAAATAGAAATCTTTTGTAACATTATAAATGTCTTTACTGGCACTTTTGATCAATT